GCTCTGCCAACTCCGTCAATCATCCCCAGCCTAGTGGGGCTTTGAGCGGCTGTCACCGTTTTCTTCAATTTTTGATAAACCAGGGTGATACCTAATCCAATCAGCATCAGACCTGTAATCATGGTTCCGAATAAGTAAATATCTTTGATGTCCTCCACAGACAGAGCCACCAGACACACAACCCTCCACTTCTCCCATCCGTCCATTGTGTAGCCAGCTGCGTACGTTCCTGCAGGACAGTCAGGTTCCCCGAACCTGCGCTTCTCTGCGAGAAGATGGTGTCAATTGCGTTGAGAGACCAGTTGATCAAATCCATGATTTCCTTAGTTTTGAAGAGCAGGGATGAGAGGGTCTCTCGAGTATAGACAGTAATACAGTAGACTGGACGAGACGAGAGGAGCAAAGCAGGGAACATAAGGGGAGGGAGAGGGAGAGAAGTGCGTCTGCCTCCGCTGAGAGCCAAAGCCAGGCTTAAGTGTGCACTGTGAACAGATATGAGACTATATTAATCCCATTCTAAATGTCTTGTGACCAGTGAAGTGGACTCTGTGAGTAACCTTGTATTGTATAAGCTGAATTTTTGTGTTATTGCTCATTGTGAATGTTTTTTTTTTTACAAATTTGTGTCCATAAGTTTGGTTTCCCAATGAGAGACAAATCCTGTTCCCACTAAGAGGTTGGAGTCAGATCATAATTTGGAAGAATTTTATAAATTTTTGATTGCAGTTTACTTTGGACAGTAATTTTGAGAAAGTCTGAGATCAGTAGGGGAGTTCTACATCATTATTTCTTATAATATTTTTAGATGTAATGGAGGATTTCAGTTGAGTATATTTGAAAAAATGTTGGCTGACAATCCCAAATTTCTGAATCAAGAAGGGGAATGAGACAAAAGTATTGTTCTGAAATATGTCCCTGAGATAAGTAATACCTTTGTCAGACCAAGATTTGAAGTGAAGTGGTTTACCAGTGACAACCAAATCTGGGTTGTTCCAATTTGGGGAGTTCTTAGATGGTAGAGAGTCTAAGTGATTTGGTGGAGTTTCCACCAAACTCAGAGTCGTTGCCATTGATGAACATTTAAAACATGGGTGACTCCTAGCACACTAGCTAAGAAAAGTTGAATCAGAGATATGCATTTGATTGCATACCGTCTGCTTGATGTAAATCCATTTATTATCCAGTGGTTGAGGATTAATACATCTGATGATATACTCTAGTTGGCTGGTCAGGCAATAATGAAGGAAGTTTGGGGCATCTAGCCTGCCTTGGCATTTGGGTTTTTGAAGCATACTCAGTTTGATTCTGGGTTTTTTATTTTTTACAATAAAACTTATTAATGATTGAGTCCATGGTTCTCTACCAATTGGCAGTTGGTTGTAACAAAGTTATTGTAAACACGTAATTTATCTTTAGAAGAACAGACATTTTGATCATTTCAATCCAACCTATGAGTGATTGTGGTAGATTCATCCAAAACTGGAGATCATCAACAATAATTTTAAGGAGAGGCATATAATTTAGGGAGGCGAGTTCTGACAGCCTGGAGGATATTTTAATACCTAAATATGTAGTGTGACCAATGCACATTGGGATCGGTGTGGTAAAGGCTGTCGCATCCAACCCATTGGAGAATAACGGAAGGATAGTTGATTTGGACTAGTTAATTTAGCAATCTGATATTTTAGAGAATCTTTCAATAAGTTTGATTATTCCTTAGGTTTTATTAGGTCCCTACCTTGTTTACAGTTATATGTGTAGTGGTGTAGCTGTTCGGTAGCTCCTGCTTCAGTACTGCTTACACGTGGGCATTCATTGGAAGCTCAGCCTAGCTGCACTGCCTAGTTCACTCCTTGATAGCATGAATGTTTTGTGCTACTTACCCCTCTTGTATACAAAAAAAAACTTCTGTGCAAGTTTTTATTTTTTAAATGGAAAAAAAAATTGACTTTGTACATCGTTTTGGACATAAAGATGTACACTCACCTAAAGAATTATTAGGAACACCATACTAATACGGTGTTTGACCCCCTTTCGTCTTCAGAACTGCCTTAATTCTACGTGGCATTGATTCAACAAGGTGCTGAAAGCATTCTTTAGAAATGTTGACCCATATTGATAGGATAGCATCTTGCAATTGATGGAGATTTGTGGGATGCACATCCAGGGCACGAAGCTCCCGTTCCACCACATCCCAAA